ATACCACCGGGAGGCTGCATGGATAAACAAATACAAAGTGGTCAGAGGGTAGAATTTGTACGTGGTCGGTGATAAGGGAGGACCCGGAGGTAGATAACCGCTGATGGGAAAACAATGTGGGTTAGGTCGTGAAAACCACTGGTCAAAATTAGTCACAAATACCTACCTACCCGTGCAGACATACACATCCGTACAAGTTGACGTTAATTTTCCAGGTCAACAGACTGAGAATTCTATTGTTAACGCGGACGCGCTCTAAGGTGACGACACATGTTCGACCGCGGCGCGGTCCAATGCACTAACTAATGTGAGGTCTCTTGATAACTCGTGCTCACACACAAACACAAATGCCAGACCAAATTCATCCATTAGAACCACCGATTTTTCGGTCGCGTGATCTTGTGGCCACCACCAATATGCGTTCGCCATGCCCTTCCGTTTCGCATATGTGTGTGTGTGTGTATACTCCCGATATCCCAAAATGATATCCATCTACTCTTCCATGTTTGATTGTTGTTGTTCTTATTGTTCTCCCAAAGTTCATGACCACATTACACACTCATACACCCACCCACCCACACGCACACAGTCCAATGTCCTCTAAACGTAGCTTACACCTAGCCTTCCTTACATTTACATATTGAAATCGGTTTACCACAATCTCATTTATTTAAAGATGCAGTACTTTGGTGGCATTGGTTCAACTGAGCCGTTTAGTGTTCGTCCACTTATCCCGTCCGACCGCATTCGTCACACTACGTGCGGTCAATTGCCGCCCAATAAATAATGGTAAAAACAATAGTCCCGGGTTATCCTCGCTCTTCCTCTCTCTGTATCTGACATACGTGTATATAACTGAAACCGAACTTAACTACGCTCTATAGGGCACATTTGTAAAGGCGAAGAGAATTCATGCGACCATCATGGATATTGAGCTTGCTTGTCTTTCTCTTCCTCTCTCCCTCTTTCGCTCACTATCCGTATCATACTTTCAAACATCATATTTCACACCAAACAAAAACAACTCCAGTCTTATTCTTTCTGCTTGTTTCATTAGATCTGTAATGATATCACCTATTTTCAGACAGGGGGAAGTCACAGGACACAGTAGAAGTGGAAAGTTTGGTGGCGGTGGTGGTGGCGGGGCTCAAACCTCGGACCGTAGGGTCGAAAGCGCGCCGGTGACAGCGACTCAATCGCTGCGCCACCATCAGTAACCAGCGTGATCGGACCTTATGGACTGTTGTCGTTACATTATAAATCATTTATTATATTTAAATTCAAAAAGAAAGAAAAGAAAGAATTCTACGATAAGATTACAAATTGAGTCAACCAACTAATCTCCAAAATATTGACGCTCAGTCCATGCGCATTCCTTACTCATTTGCGGTGGGACTCCGTTAAGAAATCACCCATATGGGACTGCATCACTGCCTGGGATCGCTAGATACTTTTAACAACAGTGACGAATGAGCACTACATCAAATGTATCAAGCTATCGATAATCATTCACAATAACCCAATGGGTTAGCAGATCAGACTAAACAATCCATAGTTCCCGAGTGCAACTCCCGATGCATTCAGAGAATATTCACTGCTTCCAAAGCTTTTAGTGGCGAGTAACTCACTAACTTTACTTGACAAATATAGTTTGCTAACCAACGACTCTGTTTTTGTAAATATTATTGATCACAAGAACACCGATGATTTGACCATATCAGTTCAATCAGATTAGAGGGGGAGAACACGGGGATGTGATTATTGATCGAAATTCCCTTGGGACCATTGATTTAGTGGCCCTATTGGAGATACGAACTCATGCACTGCAGGCTTTGCATCGTACCGCATCAGAGTGACAAAATTGTGAGATTTTATAGCAAGTTTTGGTTTCCGTTTAACCACACACAGTAAAGTAGACAGTTTTGGTGTGCAGCAAGTTACTGCTGACAATTTTGAGTAGGCCATGTGGTTAACCTAGAGCCTTATCTACCCCCAAAGTGCTGCGGTTTCGAACTGGGCAAACTCGGTAGACATGAATGCAGCTTATTTCGAAGATAAAGTATACCTGAGAGTAATGGAGGAGTGTCTGATCCGATTTCAAAGAGGGAGTTAGTGGTATATAGAGCAAATGAAGTGTGAACTGAAAAGATAGGAAGCCCACGAAACAGCCGTTTCAATCTGGTTGGATCAGATCAGCAGTGAGCGAATTCACCGACCAAAACCGGGGGTCGAACCCGGGACCCCACGGGCAGAGCGCAAGCAGGCCATCTACTCGGTCACCGAGCAGCAGCTGATCAGACCGTTTTCCATCTTCCATTTACACGATATAGCACAACCCATCTTTGCGAGCTTGTTGCAGGCCTCGCGCCCCGCTCTCCTCACTACTAGCCTTCGGAGTTAAGACTCGGTTGGAGACCTTCACAACCTGACTACTTGTTACATGAGAGTAACAGAGGATGTAGTTCATTTTCATTAGGGAATTCGTTGGGTACAGAGCATAGTTGTTCGATGCTTCTAAGGCTTTGCGACGGTGGGGAAACTTTTATCATCAATGTATAATACTGGCATAGTCCAATGCTCAGTGAATGTATCCTCGTGCATACAGACGCTGCAGCATTGTTGAGACCCNAGACCCTAAAATAGTCCAACTAAAAGCCATAGGTCAAAATCTGAGTTCCAATGCTGCAGATGTAATTAGTAAATTACCAAATGTATGCCATCATTAAAGGTTGTTGGGCATCTCCAATCTTGCATGGGTAAATTGAGATTCCGACTGGGTCCTGTTAGTTCACGACTGTTTTTTGATCTCGAATATACGGGTAACGTAAGTTATGTCGCGATCGATTGAGCGTGAACAATAGATATTTTGGAAAATAATCAGATCTGCGTTTATATCCCAACTCAATTGTAATATTTACAACTGATTTAGCCCCGTTTGTATAGAAACAGATATTTGGAAGATAAAATGAAAGTGAAATGTTCATTTAGTGTTTGGGGAATTTCAATCCAAGCCGATATACGAAAGTTAATCTTCAAAGCTGAAAACATGCATGTTGCTGGTGTAAATAACTAAGTACTGATGTCATCCTAACTGCATTATTGTCTGTTATAATTTTTGATTTGTGGATTGAGTGCGTATGCGCAATACACAANCAAGACATTTGTTTGGTTGTGTTGTTTACCTCGTTATTTTATCGTTACACATCTGGAGAAATGAACAAACAGACCAGATTTACACCTTCGCCATCCGCCCTAAATTATTTTGTCCGTGAATTGTTCTTCCCCCTCGGGGTCTCAGAGCTCTCATCAACGGGGTTGTCCTAAGCAATACCATGATATTCCAATCGGTCTTCACCAACCGGAAAAGAATGGAAACGAACTCAAGTGTTCTTTTCGATCGTTGAGCTTTGGTCATGTGACATGGGTCGGATGGGTGTGCCACGCATACTATCTTATAGAGTTGTCTGTGTTAACAGCTACAATCAAATGAAGAAACTTCCTTTGACAATCAAGGTATTTTCTGGTTGGGGTTGGTGGTGTACGTCCTGCCTACACCAGTTAATAAAATCATTTTGAATTAGTTTACGGAAACATTTATCAAATAAATGAGTTTAAACTTTGTGATATTCTTAACAAAAGCTCTGTGGTAAAATTTTAAATATAATTACTCGAGATTCATTAATGTACC